GATGAAGCTTCATCACAGAGACGAGGCTCCAACCGACTGACAGATGTCAGACTGAAGAGGATGGTTCCTCTCTGACCCGGCCCAACAGAACCACAGCTTCAGGACAAAGTGAGGAACCTGCTGCTGCTGCAAACCTCACTGTCATTCAGCTCATCTAGATTTGCTTTTCTACAATCAGTCACTTCTTAGATGTTTCATTAATGATGGTTTGAACTGGTCAGTGTTTGTGGCTCGACTGGAGGAAAACATTTCATTCTGGATGTAAAGATGAGAATCAGAAATAAAACAATCTGAATCTTTACAAGCCAAACTGAAACATCTCCATCGTTAATTAACTTCATTTGAATTATTTTACTCATTTTGTTCATCAGTCAGAACCATTTTAAAGTGAAAAACAAAGTTCAATAATCTGAAAGTCTGAAATAAGAAAATAATTCATTTATAAGGTAAAATGTTTTAGAGATTTTAATTTGACATTTAAACAAGTTGTTTTAAAATATATTAATATAAAATTATTAATTAAACTAAGGATTAAAGTATCAATGAATGATTTTATTGTATAAATAGAGAAAACAAACCTCAGTTCCTTCACTTTACTGACTGAAATCTGCAGGATCTCAGACACATTCTTCATATCAGAGTCTCCAGCTCCATATATGTTGATCTGACTTATTTCCAGTTCAGTCAGATCTGGGTTGAACTTCAGATTTGAGGCCACACCCTCACATTGAGCCTTTGGGAGCGAACAGCCACCAACTCTGTGATGAGAGAAGACATAAATTCAGTTCTAATGAAATCAATCTGGATCATAAACTGACTAAAATATGATAACAGTGATGTCATCATCTGATCAACATCTGATCTTCAATTTACTGAGTTTGACCCGACAGAGAATCTGTGCAGTTCCTGACTAAAGTCCAGGTTCTGGTTCTGGTTCTGGTCCAGGCTTCATGTCCTCAGACCTTCAGCTTAGTCAGATGTTGAAGATCTTCTATCATCTGTGAAGGAAAGTTCAGTTTTCTCTGAAGGATCAGAGCCTTAAAGGAGCTGCAGCAGCTGATGAAGAGGCTGACTGAGCTGAATGAAGGAAACTACTGGAGATGATGGAGAGGAGGAGGAACTGCTCACAGCTCTGACTCACACTGACTTGGACTAGACCGTTTGGCTCCTTGAGATCTTCCACCAAGCAGGAAGTGAGTTATAAATGAAGTGAGCAGAGCAGGAAGTCCAGCCTGCTGTGGACCTCTGGCATCTCTGGGTTTGTTTCGCCCTTATCTGCTGCTGCAGCATCTAGAATCCTCCTCATCATTAATAATAGTAGTATATTCTATAGAAACATGGCTCCCAGCAGCAGGTTATTAAATGCTGCCACAGAGGAAACTGGAAGCAGCCCAGACACATGATGCTCCCAGTTGTGTCTCCGTTCATCTGATGGATTTGATGCTTTAACAAAGTAGAAAGTGGACAGTCGTCAACCTGCTTCAGCTTAAAGCTGAAGATTGTTCTGGTCGTCCTGCAGAGCAGCAGCAGAACCGGTCCTGCTGCTGCTTCAGGTCTGGACCGTCCTCTGTTGGTCTGAGAGGAACTGGGACAAACTGGTTGGAAGAGGGACACATGTATCTGCAGTAGTCTGTCCATCGTCTCAGAGGAACAAAGGTTTGGATGTCAGAAGAAATTGTTGCTAAACTCCTAAAGAGCTGAAGAGCAAAACCCCTGGAGGAGACGGAGCGTTTGGGTCCAGCAGCATCTTCATGGTGAAGCAGTTCTCCAGAACTAAAGAGGCTGGATGTCTAAAGAGCTGAAGCTCATGTCTCTGCAGGTCTTCATGGAGGACAGCTAACAGCTTCAACAAAGGCTGCAGATGAAGAGTTGATGAGGAAAATGGTTCCAGCTCTGGAAGCAGAGTTCTCAGAGCTTTGGGAGGATCTGACAGAAACTAGGACTTTTTCTGGAACCAGACAACAATCACCACATTTTGGTCTCAGTTACAAACTCAGAGGAAACTAGTGTAGAAGGAAGAGGTGAGGATGATGACGGGATGAAGAAGATCAACACTGTTCACAAAGTTTATTTTAATGGTTCAACTTTCTATCAAACCTAAACAATTATTTTATAAAAACAGTCAAAGATCCTAAAAGGTGAATTATGGAGCAGCGGCTCAACGAGTGAAGAGAGTTTAAAGTTTAAAAAGTCTCTCTGGCTGCCTGGATCTTAGAGGAAATAGACATTTTCTAGAGTCCAGGATTTTCTATTCATTTCAATCTGAAAACTGATAAAAAGTTAAATATTTTTAAATGATCAAAATGTCTAAAAAACTAGAAGCTGCAGCTGTCCTGGATGAACTGAATGTTTAGATGTTGTAATGGCTGAAATCATCCAGAGGATGAAGGAAGTAGTTAAAGGCCAAAAACATCCAGAATCAACTTGAAGAAAGAAGAAACAACAGGAGGACAATAGTGCTGAATCAGCATTCACACAATGAAAACATCTGGACTCACCGAGCCTTTCTGCAGTTCCTCACAGCTGGAACCAGTCTCTGTCGTCCTCTATCTGATGTGTTGTACTTCTCCAGGTCCAACTCATGTAGAATCTCTGACATCTGCAGCATGAAGACCAGAGCTGAACAGTCAGTCACTGAGAGTTTCTTCCCTGAATCCAGCAGCCATTGTATCTCCTGATAAAATGAGACGTCGTTCATCTCCACCAGACAGTAGAAGATGTTGATGTTTCTGTCAGCAGAGATACTATAAGTGTTCATCTCCTTCAGGTTGGTGATGATTCTGTCATGAGAGTTATAACCAGTGAATATTGTCTTTATTTCGTTTAACATTCTCTGGATGGTTTCTGGACGGTTCTCTGTCTGACCCAGCAGATCTTCTAAGAGTCTCTGGTTGGACTCCACAGTGAGACCATGAAGGAAGCGGACAAACAGGTCCAGGTGGCCATTTTTACTGCTGAGGGATTTATCCATGACTTTCTTCATGAAGTCATCTAGAGATGTTTCATTGTATTCTTCTCCCAGGAAC